AAAAAGGGGGTTAGGTTCCAAAAATTAAAAAACATGCTGTTAAATCCTTATTTAAATCGGATTTATTATTCATTTTTTTCATAGGTAAAATACTTATTTATTATTTAAGTAAATATTTTACCAGAGGATTATTCATTTTATATGAGCATCATCAACTGGTAACAGCATGAGCATCATCAACTGGTAACAGTTTGTGGGTGCATTCGTTAATAGCGGTCGCTCTGCAATGGGAGTGCACTGCTGTTTGTACGCATTTAGGAACGACGGTGAAAGAAAGATGGCAGCGCCCACACTATCAATAGTATTGTGTGGAGGAATCTATAATTCTAAAATGAGCTTTTAGAGTCAAAAGAAGGGTCCCAATTGTAAAATTTAACCATTAAATGGATTATTTGTTGAAAGAGCATTCAAAGTAGCCACAAAAACAATTAGAATGCTCATGCAGAAATATAAAAGAATGCACCCTTTATTACATTTTATGTTGTACAAGGGTTTTACCCAATTCCCAAACCGTGTTACAGTGAACCTGTGCTATAAAAGAACCGTGTTATACAGGGGATGTTCCCAATTCTCGAACCATGTTAAAATGAATTCGTGTTATAGAAGTGCCATGTTATATGGAGGTTACCTGTATATTAATTTATAAACTAATGAGTAACTTTAAGATGAAAAATAATTCAAAGAAATATATAGAAGTTTCAATTTTGACATTTTCAACTTTATAATAAAGTACAAACATGTTTTTACTTTTTTTATATAAAAAATTCACATCTTATCCTAAAAAACTAAGACAGACAGACAGACAGACACACACACAATGAGAGACAGACACACAATAATTGAAACATAAGTAAATAAAAATAATACAAGGGCTGTTTCTTTTTCAACCTCCGATAGTCCATAAAACAAGAACAAATGTAAATAAAAAAATGAATTTATTATTAAACGTTAGGTACAAAATTGTTTACTTTCCAACATAATCACCATGAAGATTGATGTATTTGTCTATCTGTGGATGAGCTTTGAAATTCCCTTTTCATAGAATGTTGCCGCCAATGACTTGAGATGGGCCCTAATGCTGTTTTGAAGATCGTCATTAGTCTCGTACCTCTGCCCTGCTAGCCACATTTTCAGTTCAGGAAAGAGGTGGAAGTCTTCATACATTAAAAGTTCCCAGCTGGGTGGAAGTCTTCACCATCTTTAAACACCCAGCATATAGCCCCGATTTAGCAAAGAGTGCTTTCCACCTCTTTCCTGAACTAAAACTATGGCTAGGAGGGCAGAGGTTTGAGACTACTGACGATCTTCAAAACAACGTTAGGGCCCATCTCAAGTCATTGGCGGCAACATTCTATGAAGAGGGAATTTCAAAGCTCATACACAGATAGAGAAATACATCAATCCTCATGGTGATTATGTTGAAAAGTAACCAATTTTGTACCTAACTTTTGATAATAAATTCATTTTGTTATTTACATTTGTCTTTGTTTTATGGACCATTGGAGGTTGAAAAAGAAACAGCTCAAGTACTTTAATAATATTTTCATTATGCAAATTAGCTATGTAATAAAATACAAAAAAAGTCATTAATTATTGTTGTAAAACAGTAAAAAAATAATACTGATTAAAAATAATTAAACAACAAAAAAATAAACAAAAATAAACACTAGAATTAGTAGATAATCTTCATTTAGATAGTGTTGAACACAGCTATTTTTATTAGAGTTTCCTGACAATTGTTATACAGCTTTTACTTAGGTAACTGGTATTTCTCAAGAATCAAAATATCAATTAATATTCACAAGTTTTTAGCTATATATTATCCAAGTCATTCTTCTTAGAAGAAAGATGATGATAATTGTTTACAAGTTTAGCAAAATCTAAAGTAACATTTACTATTATAATATTGTTTCAGATAACTTAAATTTAACTTGTATAATTAAAAACAAAAAGTAACATTTCAATAAAACTGTTAGTTAAATGATATAAAAATATTCAAAAATTTATAACAAATGTAAACTTCATTATGGGCACAATAAATGAATTATGCTCTAATTTTACTCTAATTGATGCATTAAACCTATTTAACAATTAAAGTATTTCACCAAACTTCAGTAATGCTAAAAAGTTTTAAACTGATGTTACTTTAAAGATCTGATTTTGGAGTCTTATTTTCTAACATTCATTACACTAAAATCAATTATGATAGATTAGAAATGAGCTTGGCACAGAGCTATTATTTATAAAGAATGCTAAAAATATAGAACTGGATAAAACTACTATTCAAACAGAACAAGTTTGAAGTTTTAGATGATGACTGCTTCAACACTGTTTCAGTAATACATGCATTTGTGTTAAAAACAAATGAACATTTTACCATTTGTTTCTTTTCATTTAATTGCAAAACAGGAAATTTGTATCTTTTCAATTAGATCTTTGTATTTTTGAATCAAAATCATTAAGAACATTGTTCTCTCTACATTTGTATAATCTGAAGTTCTTACTTGTTTCAAGTTTGGTTTAATCATATTGAATGTATTTAAACAATATACAAAATGTTTAATGTCTAAGAGCTATGCAAAAGTTAAGAAAATAATCATATCTTCTGATACAAATAGAAAAATGCTGTTAAGAAATCTCATCAAATTGAGTTAGAGAATGTTAGTGAAATAGAACTTTGTAATTAAAATTTACTTCTTTTAGGAAGTTATTGGATAATGGAACATTATTTTAATGAAAGTTGATAAAACTGGCCATTAGAATAAAAAGAACACATGTAAACTACAAGATAATTTTTTTATGTAAGTCACATATTTACATTTTATTAGAGATAAAATATTTTAATAACAGCATAAATTATAGCATTATTATTATATTAATGGTTTTGATGATACTGTTATTTTGATTATAATTACATATAGTTTTTATAATATTTATTTCAAATATTTAAAATTATACAATTTATATTTTCTAATCAATATTTTAAAAATTCTTACCTAGTTTTACTTCAGCATTATCAGTTAGTAATACATTCTGTCCTTTAATATCTCTGTGAATGATTTTATTCCCATGAAGATGACTCAAACCCTGTACATAATACAATATTTATTTTATAAAACATATTTTAAAAATAACTCAATAATTGAATACTTGATTTTAAGATAAATTGTATGCAATTTTAAACAGAAATTTCTTTTATAAAATATTACATAGAATTTATAATTTTTACAATACCCTGAGAATTTCTCTACATATATAAGCTATCCATTCTTCTTTTAAACATTGACCCTTGGTGGCTGAAATAAATTTTTTAAAATTATTATTATATTTTAAATAAAATAATTAAATAACTGTTATAAACATCAATGATTAATGTAGTAAAAATTCATTATTATTTAATAATGGTAATATTTTGTAATTTATAAAAAAAAATGAAAAAATGAAAATGAAAAATGAAGAAAAAAAAAAGAATAAATTACAATATGTATTAAAAATATATTATTATATAATCAAAATATAAACTAGCTATACTAAACTTAACAAAAAGGAAATTAAATTATAAATTAAAATAGTATTAATTTAAATTATCAACCAAAACTCAGATAATTCTACTTATTTAATAAATCCGAAACAAAATATTCATGAATCTCTTAAGAATGATCTTTTAAATTTTTTTAAGGAAAGTTTAGTGCTCATAGACATTTTATTTTATATATTTTGTACCTTACAATAAAGTTCTGTTATGTAAATTGTTAGTAGCTATACAAAAATTAGAATTTGATTATAATTCTGTAAAGTTTTGTTCTGTAGCAGTATATATATAGTAAATTTTTTGTTTATATGTAATTTTCTCAATTTAATAACATTGTATCAATTTTGTTTCTTTTTAGAAAACATTAGTTATTTATACTATGTAATTTTTATCTAACCTCATATCATCTTTTAAACAATCTTAATTCTTCAAACACTATAAAACTGGAATAAAGTATGTCAGAAAAAATGCATACTGACAAACCTTATAAATGAAATTCCAGTATAGTACTTTATATAGTATTTTACCTGCATTAAACTGTGCTGGAATTTCATTTATAAGGTTTATCAATTTGCATTTTTTATGACACTCTTAATATTATACTATTGTATGAATTTCTTTGTATCTTTGTTTGGGTGGTGGACCAAGTTATACTCTGCAGTATAATAAATTTCAATACATAAGAAGATAGTGGTAGTATCTTTAATTTTAGTATTAGCTACTCTTTTTTTCTCAAAATTTTGAAAATTAAGAAATAATTTCCAAAATTTAATTCTTAAAAAAACCTCATAGGTTTCAAAATATGTCCACCGTGTATATTTGTATATTCATACATAAATATTTTCTAACAATATTTTCAAGTGAAAAATAAAGAAACAATTAATCAGTTTAATTATCTAGCTTATATTAAAGTTACAGATTATGTAATTAAAATTAATTACATATTCTGTAACTTAATATAAAATGACAATGACTTAAAATTGGATATGATTATTATTTTAATATGTGAACTTTAACGATTATCTTTTCTAATAATAGTAATAATTTGCATACATGGCAATAAAACAAAAGTTATTACAATTAAAAAAATGTTTTAAAAAACTTACATTTTACTAAATCAGTTACAGAACCTGCTCCACAATATTCCATAACCAACTACAAGAATAATAAGTTTAAAAAAATTATTATTTTTATTTTGCAAAATATTTAAAAATTCTTATGCAAGAATATATAATTGAAATTACTAATGAGAAACTTCAAACAGAAACAATATTACAATTTATGATCACACACATTCAACATAACCACCATCAGAATATATTAAATATTACAGATTTTAGTTTCACAAATTTAAAATGAAAAATTATGTTCTATAAAAACTACAGAAACACAATCTAAGAAACTTGGCAGAAAATTTTTTGATTATAGAAACAACATACCATTCTAAACTCTACATTCTATAAAAATTAAATTAAATTAACTCTGTAAATTAATTAGAAATTTAAATGTTACAAATTTTATTATTTCTATAGATATATTAATAATTGATTTACTAATTAATGACCTCTAAATTTCAATGTAAAGTTGAAAATAGCATTTGATAAATAATTTGGACAATATTTATTTTCTTCACTCAACAAAACAATTAGATTAATTTAAATCAAATTATTGAATGATAAACTATTGAAATAAAAAAAATTAAGAAACTTGATTTTTCATTTCTGATTTTAAACTCCGAGTCTTTACATTTTGTTAATTTGAGATAGCTTTTCTATAATATACCAAAAATGAGAGAATATGAAGAATGGAGTAAAATTTTGTATGATAAAATTGAATCATGTATTCTAAGATTTACTGTGTCACAGCACAACTGACAGACAAACTATAGGAGAAATATTTTATTTAAAGACAACTTTGGTTGTACATTTTTGGTATTTATAGTGATATATCAACAAAGTCAACTATGTTTTTTATAGACTGAAATAGAGGCAAAGAAAAGAACCAATAAAATAATAAGTTCCCTAAGCAAATGTATTAATGAAAAAGTAGATAAAAATATCAAAACTTTATATCTTTTCAGTAATGGTGCTGCTAGTCAAAACAAATATCATATCCTAATTGCATTTCTTTCACCATTAATAAAAAAAAGTAGATTCAATAAGATAGTGCATCTATTTTCTATAATAGGACACACAATTTCCAACATTTGATAGACATTTTGAAAGAATAAAAGTAAGAATAAGAAAAAAAATAAAAAGAAACAGGAAAAAGTGCCACATTACACAAGGGATTTTAATTATCATTTGTAAATTCTTTAAAAAGACAGCTATCAAACTTAGTGAAAAATTTTAAATTTCTGATTATTTACATACTGCTCAGATCCTGAAAACAATCTTGAGCTTTCACAAACCATATCAGGCATGGCAATGTCATGTTTTAGACCAGCGATTCCCAACCTGTGGTACGCGTACCCCTAGGGGTACGCGATAGGTTGTTTAGGGGTACAGAAAAAAGTTTGTTATTATGGCAGAAAAAATAATATATTATGTATCACAAACTAATAGTATTAAAAAATTATTAGATAAATAATGTTCCTTGCANAATAAAATAGAAAAAAATTACATGAAAGAGGAGTAGAAAAATTGCGAAATGCAATATCTTCCATTCTGCAAATTAACGAGGTGAACAACTACTGTTACAGTAACAATACACGTTGTGTTTTCCTCCCCTTCTTTACTTTTGTATCAAGCTTACATACACACACACACATACAAACAATATTATAAAATTTTGTTATTTGTAAATACAATCCCCTTTGTTACAAATATACACATTGTTTACATTACTCTAAACTTCCCTCACAAATAGTTTGTTTTTCCCATATTCATAATTTCATAGATAATCCATACACACTTATATTGAAATTTATTTGAAAGAAATTATGAAAAAGTTAACATGTGCAAAGTCTCTGTGGATAACTTACAATTCTATTGTTAATTTGATGCCTTCACTATCGTGCTTATTAGTTTTTTCTTAAAATAACTTAATATTGTGTTCTGGCTTATCTTTAAAACAGTTTAACAAATACAAAATTCTGTTTACACATTGATTTTGTTTTTCAAAAACACAGAATGCCTAGAATAATATCTACTATTGATGCTTAATAATCAAATGATGTTAGAATTTAAAGTTGGATGGTAGTATGGTTGATCAATTGTGAGAGACCAGACTAGATAATTTATTTTTGGTAAAAATTTTTCTATCTAAGAATAACATCAAAAATTTATACATGAACATTAAAATTATATATATATAAATTTTTCTCAACACAGGAAGATTTTTTTTCTCAATAAAAGATAACAGGAAGTGATTGTATCTCTCCCCAGATTCACTTCCTTGCAACCACAACATTCGGAGGATGTGTCACTTTTGACTATGTATCAGGAACCGAAGAACCAAAATTTACCTATTGGACTAATAACCTAACAAGTCCAAAAATGGAAAAATGAACTAAGGGGAAGGATCCCCAAATAAAAGAGAATTGGATGATGACAGAGTTCATCCATCATCAAGAGTTTGCAACTAGCCTCTACATTCAAGAGAATTCAACCACACACTGTCACCTAGCTAATCATTGCCACGATCATCACCTAGGCCAACCTAGTTTCATTTTTTATTGGATAACTTTCCAATTCTGCTTAACAACAACAGAAGTTAAAATATTTTTAAATTTGATTTTCTAGATTTTTTTCCTATGCTACAAAGACAAAATATTTCTCATTTTTGTTTCTGCATTATTTTTTCACAGATTGAACAGCATTTTATAATTTTATAAGAATCATTATTTTGAAATGGCAATTCATTAAAGTAACGAGCTAGGCAGTCATTGAACAAAATTACCTTCTTCTCAATAACTGAACAAATTAAACATAATCAACAAAACCTTTAACATCCAGCAACGAAATTTTAATGTAAAAATTGACAAACATTTTCAATCTCAAACAAGATCTACATCAGGTCAACAACAATGTTCCAAACTGGAATATCATTATTGACCTGATGCAAGGTAGTCATTAAAATCAGCTAAGTGGAGCATTCAGGCAAGAACAGTGAAATGTATAAATTAGAATCATGATAATGAACAGATAAAACTAACTTTGCATGTGCAAAATATAAATGAAATTCATAGAACTAATTGGCAGTGAAAATAGTTTTTGGGTGAGGAATATTTTTTATTCCTTTAAAATTTTTTTTTAAAAATAAAAAATTTTTTTGAAAGAATGAAAAATTCAATCTTAATGTATATAAATCTTTCCATTATATAAAGTCAAAAAAATCTGATAAAACAGAATATTGAGATCTAAAGTAAATTAACAATTACACAAGAAATAAATCATGTATATTATGAAATAGTACATAAAAATGTCTTATACTAATATTTTATACAGTATTTCATGTATTTATTTCTTTTTAAATATTACTATTTTTAACATATTTAAAACAATATTTGAAATAAACTAGTTTACCAATAAGGAGTTCCTATAAAAGTGTTTCTCCTTCCAATTGTTCGATCTAACTGAGCACTTACACCAAAATCCACTAAAGCAAAAAGAATTTTTAAAATAAATTTTTTTTAATATTAGCAAAGTATACAAAATTTTATTTAGAAAATAATTCTTATACAGGTAACCCCCATATAACACGGGAGTTACGTTCCAGAAAATTGCCATGTTATGCGAATCCATATTATATGAAACAAAAAACTAAAGTGCGAAAAGAGGGGTTAGGTTCCAAAAATTAAAAAACATGTTGTTAAATCCTTATTTAAATCGAATTTATTATTCATTTTTTTCATAGATAAAATACTTATTTATTATTTAAGTAAATATTTTACCAGAGGATTATTCATTTTATATGAGCATCATCAACTGGTAACAGCATGAGCATCATCAACTGGTAACAGTTTGTGGGTGCATTCGTTAATAGCGGTCGCTCTGCAATGGGAGTGCACTGCTGTTTGTACGCATTTAGGAACGACGGTGAAAGAAAGATGGCAGCGCCCACACTATCAATAGTATTGTGTGGAGGAATCTATAATTCTAAAATGAGCTTTTAGAGTCAAAAGAAGGGTCCCAATTGTAAAATTTAACCATTAAATGGATTATTTGTTGAAAGAGCATTCAAAGTAGCCACAAAAACAATTAGAATGCTCATGCAGAAATATAAAAGAATGCACCCTTTATTACATTTTATGTTGTACAAGGGTTTTACCCAATTCCCAAACCGTGTTACAGTGAACCTGTGCTATAAAAGAACCGTGTTATACAGGGGATGTTCCCAATTCTCGAACCGTGTTAAAATGAATTCGTGTTATAGAAGTGCCATGTTATATGGAGGTTACCTGTATATTAATTTATAAACTAATGAGTAACTTTAAGATGAAAAATAATTCAAAGAAATATATAGAAGTTTCAATTTTGACATTTTCAACTTTATTATAAAGTACAAACATGTTTTTACTTTTTTTATATAAAAAATTCACATCTTATCCTAAAAAACTAAGACAGACAGACAGACACACACACAATGAGAGACAGACACACAATAATTGAAACATAAGTAAATAAAAATAATACAAGGGCTGTTTCTTTTTCAACCTCCGATAGTCCATAAAACAAGAACAAATGTAAATAAAAAAATGAATTTATTATTAAACGTTAGGTACAAAATTGTTTACTTTCCAACATAATCACCATGAAGATTGATGTATTTGTCTATCTGTGGATGAGCTTTGAAATTCCCTTTTCATAGAATGTTGCCGCCAATGACTTGAGATGGGCCCTAATGCTGTTTTGAAGATCGTCATTAGTCTCGTACCTCTGCCCTGCTAGCCACATTTTCAGTTCAGGAAAGAGGTGGAAGTCTTCATACATTAAAAGTTCCCAGCTGGGTGGAAGTCTTCACCATCTTTAAACACCCAGCATATAGCCCCGATTTAGCAAAGAGTGCTTTCCACCTCTTTCCTGAACTAAAACTATGGCTAGGAGGGCAGAGGTTTGAGACTACTGACGATCTTCAAAACAACGTTAGGGCCCATCTCAAGTCATTGGCGGCAACATTCTATGAAGAGGGAATTTCAAAGCTCATACACAGATAGAGAAATACATCAATCCTCATGGTGATTATGTTGAAAAGTAACCAATTTTGTACCTAACTTTTGATAATAAATTCATTTTGTTATTTACATTTGTCTTTGTTTTATGGACCATTGGAGGTTGAAAAAGAAACAGCTCAAGTACTTTAATAATATTTTCATTATGCAAATTAGCTATGTAATAAAATACAAAAAAAGTCATTAATTATTGTTGTAAAACAGTAAAAAAATAATACTGATTAAAAATAATTAAACAACAAAAAAATAAACAAAAATAAACACTAGAATTAGTAGATAATCTTCATTTAGATAGTGTTGAACACAGCTATTTTTATTAGAGTTTCCTGACAATTGTTATACAGCTTTTACTTAGGTAACTGGTATTTCTCAAGAATCAAAATATCAATTAATATTCACAAGTTTTTAGCTATATATTATCCAAGTCATTCTTCTTAGAAGAAAGATGATGATAATTGTTTACAAGTTTAGCAAAATCTAAAGTAACATTTACTATTATAATATTGTTTCAGATAACTTAAATTTAACTTGTATAATTAAAAACAAAAAGTAACATTTCAATAAAACTGTTAGTTAAATGATATAAAAATATTCAAAAATTTATAACAAATGTAAACTTCATTATGGGCACAATAAATGAATTATGCTCTAATTTTACTCTAATTGATGCATTAAACCTATTTAACAATTAAAGTATTTCACCAAACTTCAGTAATGCTAAAAAGTTTTAAACTGATGTTACTTTAAAGATCTGATTTTGGAGTCTTATTTTCTAACATTCATTACACTAAAATCAATTATGATAGATTAGAAATGAGCTTGGCACAGAGCTATTATTTATAAAGAATGCTAAAAATATAGAACTGGATAAAACTACTATTCAAACAGAACAAGTTTGAAGTTTTAGATGATGACTGCTTCAACACTGTTTCAGTAATACATGCATTTGTGTTAAAAACAAATGAACATTTTACCATTTGTTTCTTTTCATTTAATTGCAAAACAGGAAATTTGTATCTTTTCAATTAGATCTTTGTATTTTTGAATCAAAATCATTAAGAACATTGTTCTCTCTACATTTGTATAATCTGAAGTTCTTACTTGTTTCAAGTTTGGTTTAATCATATTGAATGTATTTAAACAATATACAAAATGTTTAATGTCTAAGAGCTATGCAAAAGTTAAGAAAATAATCATATCTTCTGATACAAATAGAAAAATGCTGTTAAGAAATCTCATCAAATTGAGTTAGAGAATGTTAGTGAAATAGAACTTTGTAATTAAAATTTACTTCTTTTAGGAAGTTATTGGATAATGGAACATTATTTTAATGAAAGTTGATAAAACTGGCCATTAGAATAAAAAGAACACATGTAAACTACAAGATAATTTTTTTATGTAAGTCACATATTTACATTTTATTAGAGATAAAATATTTTAATAACAGCATAAATTATAGCATTATTATTATATTAATGGTTTTGATGATACTGTTATTTTGATTATAATTACATATAGTTTTTATAATATTTATTTCAAATATTTAAAATTATACAATTTATATTTTCTAATCAATATTTTAAAAATTCTTACCTAGTTTTACTTCAGCATTATCAGTTAGTAATACATTCTGTCCTTTAATATCTCTGTGAATGATTTTATTCCCATGAAGATGACTCAAACCCTGTACATAATACAATATTTATTTTATAAAACATATTTTAAAAATAACTCAATAATTGAATACTTGATTTTAAGATAAATTGTATGCAATTTTAAACAGAAATTTCTTTTATAAAATATTACATAGAATTTATAATTTTTACAATACCCTGAGAATTTCTCTACATATATAAGCTATCCATTCTTCTTTTAAACATTGACCCTTGGTGGCTGAAATAAATTTTTTAAAATTATTATTATATTTTAAATAAAATAATTAAATAACTGTTATAAACATCAATGATTAATGTAGTAAAAATTCATTATTATTTAATAATGGTAATATTTTGTAATTTATAAAAAAAAATGAAAAAATGAAAATGAAAAATGAAGAAAAAAAAAAGAATAAATTACAATATGTATTAAAAATATATTATTATATAATCAAAATATAAACTAGCTATACTAAACTTAACAAAAAGGAAATTAAATTATAAATTAAAATAGTATTAATTTAAATTATCAACCAAAACTCAGATAATTCTACTTATTTAATAAATCCGAAACAAAATATTCATGAATCTCTTAAGAATGATCTTTTAAATTTTTTTAAGGAAAGTTTAGTGCTCATAGACATTTTATTTTATATATTTTGTACCTTACAATAAAGTTCTGTTATGTAAATTGTTAGTAGCTATACAAAAATTAGAATTTGATTATAATTCTGTAAAGTTTTGTTCTGTAGCAGTATATATATAGTAAATTTTTTGTTTATATGTAATTTTCTCAATTTAATAACATTGTATCAATTTTGTTTCTTTTTAGAAAACATTAGTTATTTATACTATGTAATTTTTATCTAACCTCATATCATCTTTTAAACAATCTTAATTCTTCAAACACTATAAAACTGGAATAAAGTATGTCAGAAAAAATGCATACTGACAAACCTTATAAATGAAATTCCAGTATAGTACTTTATATAGTATTTTACCCGCATTAAACTGTGCTGGAATTTCATTTATAAGGTTTATCAATTTGCATTTTTTATGACACTCTTAATATTATACTATTGTATGAATTTCTTTGTATCTTTGTTTGGGTGGTGGACCAAGTTATACTCTGCAGTATAATAAATTTCAATACATAAGAAGATAGTGGTAGTATCTTTAATTTTAGTATTAGCTACTCTTTTTTTCTCAAAATTTTGAAAATTAAGAAATAATTTCCAAAATTTAATTCTTAAAAAAACCTCATAGGTTTCAAAATATGTCCACCGTGTATATTTGTATATTCATACATAAATATTTTCTAACAATATTTTCAAGTGAAAAATAAAGAAACAATTAATCAGTTTAATTATCTAGCTTATATTAAAGTTACAGATTATGTAATTAAAATTAATTACATATTCTGTAACTTAATATAAAATGACAATGACTTAAAATTGGATATGATTATTATTTTAATATGTGAACTTTAACGATTATCTTTTCTAATAATAGTAATAATTTGCATACATGGCAATAAAACAAAAGTTATTACAATTAAAAAAATGTTTTAAAAAACTTACATTTTACTAAATCAGTTACAGAACCTGCTCCACAATATTCCATAACCAACTACAAGAATAATAAGTTTAAAAAAATTATTATTTTTATTTTGCAAAATATTTAAAAATTCTTATGCAAGAATATATAATTGAAATTACTAATGAGAAACTTCAAACAGAAACAATATTACAATTTATGATCACACACATTCA